AAGAAGTATGTGCATGATGCCCCAGTTTCGTTTTTGTGCAGTAAGTCCCATAGCAAGGGCTGTCAGCGCCAGCCGACATGGCTCTCATGAGTCGCGGTCTAAAGGTACCTTAACATAGATGGATTTTGACAAACTGTACCTTGATGGATAGCGGATGAATTGGCCAACAAGGTGACAAATTTGCAAGGCTTCAGATTCGAAACTTTTGGAGTGAGCCCCAGACGTAGGTGCATGATGCCCCCAGTTTCGATTTTGTGCAGTAAGTCCCATAGCATGGGCTGTCAGCGCCGGCCGACCTGGCTCTCATGAGTCGCGGTCTAAAGGTATCTTAACATAGATGGATTTTGACAAACTATACCTTGGTGGATAGCGGATGAATAGGCCAACATGCTGACAAATTTGCAAGGCTTCAGACTTGAAACTTTTGGAGTGAGCTTCAGACGTAGGTACATGATGCCCCCAGTTTCGTTTTTGTGCAGTAATTCACACAGCATGGGCTGTGTGCGCCAGCCGACATTGCTCTTATGTTTCGCGGTCTAAATGTACCTTAACATAGATGGATTTTGACAAACTATAGCTTGTTGAAAAGCGGATGAATGGGCCAACAAGCTCACAAATCGGAAAGGCTTCAGACTTGAAACTTTTGGAGTGAGCTTCAGACGTAGGTACATGATGCCCCCAGTTTCGTTTTTGTGCAGTAATTCACACAGCATGGGCTGTGTGCGCCAGCCGACATTGCTCTTATGTTTCGCGGTCTAAATGTACCTTAACATAGATGGATTTTGACAAACTATAGCTTGTTGGATAGCGGATGAATGGGCCAACAAGCCGACGAATCGTCAAGGCTTCAGATCTGAAACTTTTGGAGTGAGCCCCAGATGTAGGCACATGATGTCCCCAGATTCGTTTTTGTGCAGTAAGTCCCATAGCAAGGGCTGTCAGCGCCAGCCGACATGGCTCTCATGTGTCTCGGTCTCCTTAACATGGATGGATTTTGACAAACTATAGCTTATTGGATAGCGGATGAATGGGCCAACAAGCCGACAAATCGTCAAGGCTTCAAACCTGAAACTTCTGGAGTGAGTTTCAGATGAAGGCACATGATGCCCCCCGTTTCGTTTGTGTTCACTAAGTCCCATAGCAAGGGCTGTCAGCGCCAGCCGACATGGCTCTCATGTGTCTCGGTCTAAATGTACCTTAACATAAATGGATTTTGACAAACTATAGCTTGTTGGATAGCGGATGAATGGGCCAACAAGCCCACAATTTGTCAAGGCTTCAGACCTGAAACTTTTGGAGTGAGCTCCAGATGTAGGCACATGATGCCCCCAGTTTCGTTTTTGTGCAGTAAGTCCCATAACAAGGGCTGTCAGCGCCAGCCGACATCGCTCTCATGTGTCTCGGTCTAAATGTATCTTAACATGGATGGATTTTGACAAACTATAGCTTGTTGGATAGCGGATGAATGGGCCAACAAGCCGACAAATCGTCAAGGCTTTAGACCTGAAACTTTTTTGAGTGAGCCCCAGATGTAGGCACATGATGCCCCCAGTTTCGTTTGTGTGCACTAAGTCCCATAGCAGGGGCTGTCAGCGCCAGCCGACATGGCTCTCATGTGTCTCGGTCTAAATGTACCTTAACATTGATGGATTTTGACAAACTATAGCTTGTTGGATAGCGGATGAATGGGCCAACAAGCCGACAAATCGTCAAGGCTTCAGATCTGAAACTTTTGGAGTGAGCCCCAGATGTAGGCACATGATGCCCCCAGTTTCGTTTTTGTGCAGTAAGTCCCATTGCAAGGGCTGTCAGCGCCAGCCGACATGGCTCTCGTGTGACTCGGTCTAAATGTACCTTAACATGGATGGATTTTGACAAACTATAGCTTGTTGGGTAGCGGATGAATGGGCCAACAAGCCGACAAATCGTCAAGGCTTCAGATCTGAAACTTTTGGATTGAGCCCCAGATGTAGGCACATGATGCCCCCAGTTTCGTTTTTGTGCAGTAAGTCCCATAGCAAGGGCTGTCAGCGCCAGCCGACATGGCTCTCATTTGTCGCGGCCTATTCATCCGCTATCCAACGAGTTATAGTTTGTCAAAATCCATCCATGTGAAGGTACCTTTAGACCGCGACACATGAGAGCCATGTCGGCTGGCGCTGACAACCCTTGCTATGGGACTTACTGCACAAAAACGAAACTGGGGGCATCGGGTACCTACGTCTGGAGCTCACTCCAAAGGTTTCCAGTCTGAAGTCCTGCCGATTTGTCAGCTTGTTGGCCTATTCATCCGCTATCCAACAAGCTATAGTTTGTCAAAATCCATCTATGTTAGGGTACATTTAGACCGAGACACATGAGAGCCATGTCGGCTGACGCTGACAGCCCTTGCTATGGGACTTACTGCACAAAAACGAAACTGGGGGCATCATGTACCCACGTCTTGGGCTCACTTGAAAAGTTTCCAGTCTGAAGCCTTGCCGATTTGTCAGCTTGTTGGCCTATTCATCCGCTATCCAACAAGCTATAGTTTTTCAAAATCCATCCATGTTAAGGTACCTTTAGACCACGACACATGAGAGCCATGTGGGCTGGCGCTGACAGCCAAAAATTAAGTAATGCATTACTTAATTTTGGAGATAGTTTGTCGTACATGACTATCGTTTCCGAGCAAAATGTGTGGAAAATGGTCTGTTTTGGACTTGGACTGCACTCTCGCCCAGTTTTTCTCCGCGTTTACACAAAACAATGTTGAAGGAGAGAACAACAATATTTTGTCTAAATCTTCTGTCTAGTTTGTCTATTTTTCATGATAAATCGCCTGGTCACTGTGCAATTTAATGCATTACCTAATTTTTGTGATAGTTTGTCGTGCATGACCATCGTTTCCGAGCAAAACGTGTGTGGAAAATGGTCTGTTTGGACTGGGACTGCACTCTCGCCCAGTTTTCTCAGCGTTTACACAAGACACTGTTGAAGGAGAGAACAACAATATTTTGTCTAAATCTTCTGTCTAGTTTGTTTATTTTTCATGATAAATCACCTGGCCAACGTGCAATTTAATGCATTACTTAATTTTGTGATAGTTTGTCGTGCATGACTATCATTTCCGAGCAAAAAGTGTGTAAAATTGTTTGTTTGGAATGGGACTGCATACTCTCGCCAATTTTTTTTCTCCGCCTTGACACAAGACACTGTTGAGAGAGAGAACAACAATATTTTGTCTAAATCTTCTCTCTAGTTTGTCTATTTGCTGATGTGACTTTACTTAATTGGACTGGTACAGAACGACACGAATGCAGGATCTCAGAGGTAAATATTGGGTTTTGTGTAACGAGTGTCGAGTTAGATACCGACCTAGTAAACAAAAGCTTTTCTTCCTGAAAAGAAAAAAAACAATAGAAGTTTGGCGTGTTGTTGCTGCATGGTACGAAGGGCAGTCTAGACTGGCTACCGCCCACAGGTAGCCTACCGTACCCAGATAAGCATAACAGAGAATGGTTTTGAAGTAACTGTAGTTCGATCAGTGCAGGTTTCAAAGTGCTTCAAAATTATTAGACCATTATTCTGCAGCAGCTCAAGATCAACGCAAACTGGTCTCTTCCTTCACATGTACCCATTTACACTCCTTGGTTAAGAGAGGCAATTGCAGTAAAGTGTCTTGCCCATGAACGTAGGCACCATATAAAGTTCCCCGTCAGGGTTCAAACCCCCGTACCGTGAAACACGACTCGGACACCGTAACCACTGGCCAATGCTATTAAACGACCATATTCATGGTGAAAATCATATGATTGACAGTGTCAAATAAAATACACGATTTAATCAGAATAAACAAAAAATTCAAGGGGATTCCATCTTTTTTGCGGGTAAGTTATTATTTACTTTTGGATAATTTACTTTTGAGGCCACGATTTGTCATTTATGATTGAATAATGGATTAGCTCAGTGTTAGTTATGCTAATGGATTTAGGGCCGGGCGACTATCACTGATTGGAGTAAATTATAGACGAGGAGATAGATAAGCACTGGAGCGAGGTCCGATGTCCATCCGTGAGGGGACCGTCGCGTCAAACTGCGGCCGGCGAATTCTTAGCCAAACTCGGTGACCATTTTATTTTATCTACAAACACCGATAGTCACATTTGTAAAAGAAAATTAGCACATATGCTGCTTAACTGCGTGATCATGGAATTTTTGCAAATTCCCCTCCCAAATATGGACACAATTTCACTTGAGCTCGGTAATTTCACAGGCCTTTGGAGTAAAATAACGTTGCAGAACAGTATCCACTATGTTTTTTTTATTTATTTATTTTTTTTTTACAGCTATAGACCTACATAGTATGCTGGTTTGCAATACCACTGAATGAAATAATCCGTATCATTTTTATCTTTCAATGAAATCTAATTGAAAGCATTGTTAAATCCGAAACTAAAAGTGTAAAAATGTGACGTTATATAAATTATTAAATGTATGGGACCCATCAAAGCGAATGGTTCTTATAAATACATTTGTTTTTAGAGATGGAAAGAAACCTGATGGGACAAAAAGTTATACCAACATTGCTTGTAAAAAAAAAAAAAGATTGTCAAGATGCATAGGAAATGAGTAGGGTGTCTCTTATCTTGCTTATCACTTGAAACGTTTTCATTCTTAAGACAATACGTATGGGCTATCAATGGTGTTGCCCACATGTGCTTATTAGAACTTGCAGACTGTAATCCAGTTTGTTAAACAGAGGACAAAATAACGCCCTACGAAACCGAAAACTCCCTTTCCGACTTGAGACAGAATTTTCACTCTTTTGATACAAAAGCCGAATTGACCGCATTTGATCGGTTTTCGACATTTGATAGCTTTTCAGAGGTTCCCCTCTATCAAAACTCAATGTGCGTTTCATAAGGTTGACTAGGTTAGGCTGGTTAATATTTATATAAAATGATAAATGATTATCTATGGCTTATCTTGGGCGGCTTCGCAAAGTGTCGTAGCGTACGGTACTCGTCACAGATGGCAACCAACAGTGGTTCACAGTCCAATCCCTATTGACTACCGACACCGTGCACGAGGGTTGTTTCGCATTTTCAACCTCAGAGATCCGTGTCGAATCTGTGGTGAGACCCGTAGCTAAAGAAAATATCGAAAAGGTTTTCCATTTTCCACTTTACAACCATGGATGAGAAGCCAGACAAGTTTGGTGAGAGGGCAGTCAAGTTCGATGAGGAACCGCTACTACGACCGGTATGTATTTTATTTAATTTGTTCCCAGCATACGAGCACTGGTAAAAATGGTAAAAGATTTTAATCTAAAGCAAAGCGCGTAACTGTTTTTGTCTAACAAAACAGGCTTAAAAGTAATGAACAACATTTGTGAACATAAACAATAACAACTACCAAATTATTATGAAATTGTTTACTTTACTGTTAGTGAATAAAAGTATTCTGTGAAATCATGACACCTGTATGTCATGGCAGCTGTCATTTTCAAGAAAGGTGGCATTTTTGTATCAATATCCAACGATGATGCGCCGACCTTCATTTGAAAAAATGTGACATTTTTTTTTCAAATACTTCCCCAATTTACCAATTTATTTAGTCCACATTTTGTTTGCAATCGGTCACACGTCCTGAACGAGTGCAAGCCATGTAGTCTGGTTCCTTGATCTGACAATTCCAGACGTCTATAAATGGCTCCGTTTCGTCAGAAGTATAGGATCAAGGAGCCAGACTGCAAGATCTAATATATCTGAAGAGAGTTTAATACAAAGGAAACTTACCTATCCAAATTAAAGCTGAGAAATGTCAGCATGAGCTGTGAGAAAAGTGTGAAAATGCATCTTCATGTTTCCGGAGGTAAAGCAAGGTTTTGTTGAAAGGCCTCCCTTCCTGTTCGCTCATTCGTTTTTGACTTACAACATCTTGAACATGTAGTACGATCGCAGTTCGTCACTCGGGAAAAATATTTCTCACTCATGTAACCGATTGCAAATTCTACTAAATTTATTAAATTTGGTATAGTATTTGAATAAAAAAAACCTTTTTTTTCCTCGCGATGGTTAGGTTCAAACAGTCGCGAGGACATGATGTTAATTCCTCTTTCTTGAAAATGACAGCAGAAAAGTCGCAAATGGTCCATTCGGCCTTTGCAGTGCTCAATGCATGCTATGAAACTTTTGTGTTGTTAAGTTATCTCTCAGGCTGTCACTCGAAATATGTTAACCTGAAATGCTCAAATTTTTTTATTGTTTTCTGCTTTTACTTGTAAATGAAGCGAATTGTGCATCTCTGTCACACTTGTACAAGCAATTGGAACATAATCCACACCCGGATTTATCAAGGATTTTCTGTGTTTAATTAATACCATTATGTTTGTTATTTTCATATCTACATTGTCTGCCTGCAATAGCTGCATTATAACATTTCCAAGGCATATTGAATTTTCAGTGCAGTGCTAGATATGAACGGTAGGACATGTCCACCCATTTATAGCTCCGAATTCCAAAGTCGACAGTTATATACCAAAAATAGACTCAACATTTGAACTTCAAACTTGTGCGCTTGCTGGAAACAACTTGAAGCTACTTGAAACTAAACTTAGGTACTATTATACATATATAGCTAATGTTATTTATATTGCACTCGATATGACAATGTTGCACTCGTCTTCGACTTGGGCAATATTGTCATAGCTCGTGCAATGTATTCTTGTATTCACAAAGTCATCCAATATTATATAATTACAATAATGACGTAACTTCACTCTCTGATTTCCAGAGTAACCATTCGAATGAAAACCACTCCCTCCGACTGAAACAAAGGATATGACTGAAATCCATTCAATCGACATAGAGTTTTCACTTTTTGAGTTTGCACTTGCTTTTTAGAGCAATTCGAATTAAAATGTATGGTTATTGTGGCCGTGAAGTGACATAACCGGTCAAGAATATTTGTCTTTGTGACGTCATGGATTAGTCGTGAATATTTTCGCGGAGTCGTGCGATTATATTTTTGCGACGTTGTGAATAGTTTTGCGACGCCGTGAATATTTTTGCGACGCCGTGTACATTTTTCACGAGAAGTCGACAGCGTGAGACAAATTCACGACGTCGCGACAAACCGTCGCAATAAATTCCAGACCAGATGTACGAATAGTGGTTTATTGTCATAAATATGTTCCCAGTTACTAATAAAGGTTCAACAGTGTGCATCATAGATATTTGCCCCGCGTGTCGGGCAACGTACCTTGTTAATTGAGTTCGTATTGTTTGTAAAATAAAGTAACGCCAATTCATTAAAGTTTTGCTATCTGAGTTCCCCTCCATTGAGTTTTTCGACACGTACGATGAAGCATGCAACGATAGGAATCCTGCCGCCGAAACTATGAAATAACACCCTCTATCGCGCCCGTTTGGTTAAATACCCTCCAAGCTGATGAACAAAATCTATATTCGCGACTAAATTCGCGACTCGTCGCAAAGAAAGATATTCACGGCTGGTTATATGTCCCTTCAAGGCCACCATACTCTTTTAAAATTAATGAGTAAAAGAAATCTGTCCTTTGAAAGCTAATATGGGGGAGCCCACTCCTCCCCCGTCGGCTCTCCTCCCCCGTCACCATGGGTTGAAAGACCCTGGACCAGGCTTAAAAGACAAACGCGGAGTCTTCCAAATGATAATCCTTCTTGACCGACAACGTGGATAAATGATAATCAATAATGTTTGAACATTCAGCGTGGCGTCCCTCTTGCAAAATAAATATCGCTTTCCCTGTCGATCGATTTTCGGTTATTTTTTCCCAGGGAGGTTTTTATTTAAAAAAACAAAACAGTTGATTTTTGAGGGTGTTCGATGAAAAGGATCTTGACAGTACGCATGGTAGTGTCTATAGATCTGGCTAGAGGCCTATACACATGATATACGTAGACGGCTGGGCTCGGCCCCTGCAGACAGCCGGCAAAGTATAAAAAACGTGTTGAACCAATGTGCGGCAGAATCCTAGCCTTATGTTCGGTTGGAACATAATGGAGCTATAAAACACATTTGAACACAACTTAACCCCGAGTGTACGTGAGTGCACCATAATAACTAGCGTAAAACAGAATCACGCATCGGCATATGGCATGTGAGAGCTGCTGTGTGGTTTTCCGTAAAGGCGCAATAATGTTTCAGTATGAGACATCAAAAAAGAATAAGCCTTAACTTTTCACACTGGTTTCACCAAGAAGCACTGCAGCTATGCCAAGGCTCTCTTCTTGAAAGTCTGTTCAGGGCTCAGACGATACGTCCATTCAAAGAGCAAAAGCCACAGTCCATTCATGGACACACGGGTGCACACGTAAATAGGCAAAAAATCCGTCCGCGAGCTCATGAATAAAAGTTATACACTCAAATTCGTGTATGAGAGTTCTGAGAGCCATGGAATTGGGGACTATGAAGACATATAGCACTACTGCAAATCTGGCCTAGACATGGGGCTTCCAAATCTGATTACTTTGAATGCAATTGAGGCTGAAAGTGGCGCTATTTAGCCATGTTTTTGAGGGATTCTTTTTTTTAATTGCTATACTTTTCCAGTTTGGGAAATATTATTCGTGTTAGGGGTGGTCTTAATTCATCGGGTGAGAATTTCTTCAAGACATCATCGGTCAACCCACCAAAAATTGAAAAGAAAATGAAAGGTGAAATGTTGATCATCATTTTCCTGTGGAGTCTGAACACCTATGAGAGTTTTTGAAGTCACTGGTGTCTATGGGAATATGTGTACTTATGTGCACCCATACACGCCTCCTAGTCAACACGCATGCGCCAGGCAACCCTTATCATTCCCCCTCCCGAGGGTACCATGTGATGTAAGCAAGGACACGTACTCGCGGACAATAACCTGTTTGCACGCTTCACGTGCACTCATGTAGTGTTGCCCCTTATTGCGTATAACCATAGAGAAAAACAACTATAGACGGAGCACAAGACTACAGGATCGCTATTGTCAGTCCAAAACAACCTCACTATCTTTTCTTGAGCATTCTTCTCCTGGATTTGCACCTCATTCCAAAAATGGGAAAGTTTAAATATTCGTCTGCTGGTACTTCTGTTAAACAGGGGAAAGCGACGGTATGGCTGGGGTTGTCCACATTCTCCGTGTCGGTGGGATCCTCCTTGCAGTTCGGCTACGGGACCGGTGTGCTGACGGCACCCTTGGGCTTTGGGGTAAGTGCGCATCGAAACATGATCGAAACTATGGAAAAAATGCAAATCTCTCATTAAAAGAAGAAAATATTAGGCCTTTTTAAAAGCTAAACAGATGGTGTTTCCTTGTCCATTCCAAGCCTCAATTGCCATTTCCAAGAGCTGCTGTTTGCCACTTTCCAATCAAATGTCTTGGAAACACTTTTATTTTTCAGCTACTATAGAATGGTTATTCAGTATAGGCACCATTTTATAGTTGAATAAAGTTATTATATTATACAGTCAACTTTACAGTTGCACTGATCTAACAAGTTTAAAAACTGCTTTAAATAGAAAAACATCACATTTTCCATTCTGATCATCTCACATCACATCATCACAATTTTTTATCCACTTCGAGTAGATATATGACTAAAAATGGAGCACAAAAATGGAAACAAGTATCGCAAGAATCTTTCACCCATTAGATGGTCCAAGCAAGAAAATAAGATCTGTATGAGAATTTGATATTGGCAAAAATAACTTATATAGAGCCCTTTAATTGTTATGTAATGCTAAAATAGACGGTTCCCATTTTACCGCGCTTGGCAAGACAGCCATGCATGATGCATTATGAATGGACTGCGCCCATGGTCACTCAGTGACTGCCTGGGTACGCCTCTGCCCCACCCCCTGCCAACCCCCAAACACTTTCTATAAATTATCTCTTAGTGAATAGAACCAAGCAGTCTGCAACTCTGCATCCGCAGCACAAATATGCCAAGGAAAGCAATCTGAAAGGCCCTCGTTCTTGTCAAGACGGGCAAACAAAATGTGACACAAACCTCCAGAATAATGCTTTTGGGTAAAGGCCCTTTCACGAAATCTTAAGGCTTTAGCCTTGGAAGCAAGTTGGAAATCAACTATAACTAAGAACACTCAAAATATTCACCCTCGCGGGATCCGATTCATTTCCATTCTACTGTATGTACATGACCAACTAATTCATGATAAATCTGTCTTTAAAGCTCTTTTTCCTGGGATCCGGCTACGTTTTCGTTGCACACTAACGGCCTGATAAATTTGATTACATAACGTATATTATTTTACAATGTGCGTTGGTAAACGGTGCATTTGCGCCATGTCCATACAATTGTCATGTGTATTCGGCATGGCGTACGACCTTGTGCTAGGTCTCATGGTGATAAAATTGAGTATATTATAACGATTATGTCAGCAACTTGGATTCGTGTGTACACTACTGTTTTGTTACTGCTGAAGACTGTTGTTTTGTAGGGTCATTACCTTAAAGACTGAGGAGGAAAAATTTACCAAATTACAAAATAAGGTGTGTACGTTTCAAAGGCCAGTCTTGAATTGAAGGATTTAAAATATATAGCGCTATTGTATTCTCCGTTCTCTTAGCTTTGCTTATCGGTAAAACTGATAAGATTTGGTTTATTTGTTCAATAGGGATGGGGTATCGTCATATTCAAGCAAGTTAGAACAAACAGTTTAGGTTATGTTGGGCGGATACTTTACATGTTCTTACTGCAAACGAACAATAGAATATGTGTGCATTTCAAGTTGAGCATTTGGCAGAAAACAAATGTGAACAATGGACATCGTTGCTGAAAACTCCATCCGTACTAAGGGCCAACTTGCAATAATTTCCCCCAAAAATCATCTCTTCTAGTCCTAGACAATATTTAAAATCTAGAAATGTTCCCTTCAACAACAAATCGCTGGCAGGAAATAACTGATAGAACAATCTTAACATGTATGTAAATCATTTTAGTTCTGTTTACCAACTTTGGAAAAGTGGTGTATTGGGTGTAATATTTCTACAGAACATTGCCCTCACTAAATCGTTTGGTTGATTTTTTTTTAAATGTAGGCCAAAACATAACCTATATTTATACAATGCATTCCTACAGCTAAAATACACCGATGAACAATCATGAGACTAATTGCTCACAACTCCTAAATAATACTAGTACCTATGCTTAAAAAGATCATATTAATATGGTCCGTTATTTATCAAACGTATTGTACAAAAGCAAACCGCCATCCTCCCCTCCATCCATTCACTTAACAGTTAACTGTTAACACAATAACAAATGCTGCTTGCTATATTATTATGCTCCGTCCACGCATAGATGCCAGCGAATCCGCACCGTACACAGCTTTGTGCATATCTCTATTGATATGGTTACGTAACCCTTCCAGCGTACCGACACTGTCCGTTTATAACCCGTTGGCAATTTGCGAGATAATGATCAGTACCTTACACCATGCATAGTATATACATATATACATGTACATGTACATCATAGTATAGATGTACACAGATAGAAGGAAATAAAGAAGGGGGTTGAGCGTTGTGATTGTGAGGGGAAATTTAGCCGTTGCAGGCTGTGTGTGCATCCAAACTCGTGTTAAATTATTTTTATTACACGATTGATTGGAGCATTGGAAAGAGTCGACCTGACAAAAAACTGTTATATAAGTGCAAACCATGTACCAAAGTCAAACACCTTCGCTCTTTTCGCATAATGAAGTATTGCAAGGGCGTCCGATAGGCTAAATTATTTTGGTACAACACAAGGAACTATAACATGTATGGGAATAAGAAGCAAACAGCAAAAATAACAGCAGTAACCTAGATCTAGCGACGGTGTTACAACACGAGCTTATCGAACAGGCAACTGTTTAATAAGTCAAAAAGATTCCAATCACTTTTTTCCAGTGTAGAATTTGTTTTAATTTGGAAAAAAAAACTATTTAAACGTTACCTCCGGTTTGATGACGCCATCGCTTGAAAATGTGCTCACTGAAATTGATTTAATAGACAGGATACTAGAATATTAAAAAGTACACAAATGTATTTAATGTATGCATCGATGGCACCTTACTTCCGGTTTGATGACGTCACAGCAACAATGTAGCTGATATCATTATCTGTGCCATATCATTTGTGCCACCAACATCGCCACTGGATTATGGATGTAAATGTTAAGCATTGTAAAAAATGAATTGCATCGAAAAACGGAAATTGGTCACTTTCAAAATTCTGCCTATTTTAACTTCAGGTTTGATGACGTCATGATCCTGAACCCTCGCTATGCAATGTCTACCTGATTACAAAAAACAATGTGAACAGTACTCCATTCATTTGAAAAGTTACACTACAGTTCAGAGTAATTTTTCAAATTTTGTCCTTAAATCGCTTGTAATTTTATACCAGCTGTCGTCATGATGAGTCACTTTTTTTCTTCACATCTTCAAACCTAGGTTGAGTAGGTTCAAGTTCATACTTGTTTTCATCTTCACCCCTTGACCTATATTGCGAAGAAATTAACTCTATTTCAATTTGAGGCTTCCGTTGGTATTTTGAATTCACTAAATGTTGTCCTTGGTAGCCACGGAAGTAAAGGTCATCAAGCAACTTCAAGTACACAGCAGAAACGTGTATCAATTAATGGTTATTATGATAACAAAGTATGAACATGATTTATCATTTTGTTCAGTAGTTATAAGTGAAAGAAATTGGTCACATTTTGAACTTGTAATCATGACGTCAGATTAATATGCACACCTTGGTACTACCGGGGTTGATATTTGTTCAAGGTTTCAAGTTTATACCATATATATATATAGAATAAAAGGCGCGGAGAATTATTGTCCGGGAAAAAAGAAGAAAGAAAACGAACGATTTCAAAACGGTGATGGGGTGGTGACCAATGAAAAAAACTAGGCACAGGTTTGATTTTCTCTTCTTTTTCACAGTACATCAATGATTTTTACAACGCGTCCAACTATCAGCGTCGAGAGGACTACATTGACTCGGGCACCATGACGTGGTTGATCGCCTTCACCACATCCCTCTACTGCGTTGGCGGTGCTTTCGGTGCGCTCCTCGGCGGTAAACTTGCCGACATCCTCGGCAGGCAAGTAGGACCTGTTTTTTCTCCAAAACAATATTTCTTTTACCAAATTCATAGAGTTACAAGACCACTCCTGAGTCCTGACCTAATTAGAAACGTGCCGTGATATCTAATTCTGCCCCACACACCCTCCTAAAACAGATCGAAAAGGAAACGAGCCAGTTTCTTCCTAGAAGCAACTGAAATTCCTCAAGTATAGGCACTCAAAATATGTACCCCCTTTTGGAGCCGCACAACTCCCCACTTTTATTGTAAGTCCTCACAAGTCCTACATTAAAGATGCGTTCCATCCCCGTGCTATTTTCGAATAACGATCCAAATCAAAATAGATTTTCGTCATTGCCAATATAAAGGAAATTCACCTTTAAATGAGACATCAAACAACCAAAAAATCCACCGACATTTAGTTATTGAATGGTTCTTTACGAAATTGGAGTTATTATGTGTCAGGCAATAATTCTGCTCTTGCGGGGTGGGTTTATTATTTTGTGCGCAAAAAGAAAGCCCTCCCCCAGAGAGTTTCAGACGCCCTAAATCGGAATTCATAGGTTTTCCCCGTTAAAACAGAACATACAAATTGTAAATTCGTTAGGAGAAAAAGAAATGTACACATAAATCATATTTCAAGCCATGTATTGTTAGTTATTATAAGTGTACTGAAAAGGCCTATTCAGTATAGGCCTTTCATAGCATTTAATTTGTTTTTCTTCTTCTTTTCTTTGCTTTTTACGCTAATGATGTTGATTGGACCAATTAATTTAAAATTTCATTATTTGAAAAAGCGAAAATACCTCAATGCCTTTATTATTTTCAAATAGGTGAACAGGTGTTATGAAATTAATAAATGTAACTTTATCAAATATATAGAGGCCTATGAGTTATAAAAGACGACTAAACAAAGAGATACGAGACACGTTAAATAAACACAGCATCACACTTTACATTCTCATTTACAAGTTTGTGTCAACAGTTGATTTTATTTCACACCACACTAAATCAATAACAATTTAATGACTTCTATATAACGATATTATTGCGCTTTTCTTGCTCACGTAATCATTTCTTGCTTATTCCTTGTTAATATTTGCTCATTTCTTGCTCTTTTCTTGCACACTTGGTCACTTGCTCTTTCTTGCTCACTTGCTTTTTCCTTTCTCATTTCTTGCTCATTTGCTCATTTCTTACTTTTTTCTTGCTCGTTTCTTGCTCATAATTTGCTCATTCCCTCCTCATTTCTTGCTGTATACTCTTTTTCTTGCTCATTTGCTCGTTTCTTGCTCATTTCTTGCCCATATCTTGCTCATTTTCTATCAATTCAATTCTTGCTCAAGGGGCGTAGCACGGTGATTCGTGCTGGGGGGGGGGTACATTTTTTGAAAAAGGGCACTTGCACATTCGTTGTGAAATGTAAACAGGTTTTTTTCTCCGGACCCTTGGCCTCCGTAAAATCAAGAAGCAGGGGGGGGGGGGGTGGTACTATCTATCGATGGGGGCGCTGTTCAAAACCGACAATTATGCACACAAATGGCCAATATATGGTGATTTTCAGGGCGGATATATGTGCGAAATTCTGAAAAAGGCACCCAAAACGGTAGACGACACAAAAAGGGCACCACTTCTTTTTTTAAAAGGGCACTTGTTCAGAAAAAAAGGCACTTCGTAAAAAAAGGGCACTCCTTACAAAGTATTGGGGGGTAAGTCCGTTGAAAAAAGGGCATATGAATGAAAAAGGCAGTTTTTACAAAATATTAGGGGGGGGGGGAATATCCCCCCTATTCCCCCCCCCCCCCCCCCCCCCCCCCGCCCGCTAGCTTCGCCTAAGGTCTCATCTGCTCATTTCGTCGGCCATTCACAAATCATTGCTATGCTCATTCGTTGATCAGTGAAAAGAGATTTGCGGATGGGCGGCCACATGAGCAGATGAGCACAAGCTGATCAGAAAATGAGCAAATGAGCAAGAAATGAGCAAATGAGCAAAAATGAACAAGGATTGAGCAAGAAATGATCAAGTGAGCAAGAAAAGCGCAAGAATATCGTTATATAGAAGTCATTAAATTGTTATTGATTTAGTGTGGTGTGAAATAAAATCAACTGTTGACACGAACTTGTAAATGAGAATGTAAAGTGTGATGCTGTGTTTATTTTACGTGTCTCGTATCTCTTTGTTTAGTCGTCTTTTATAACTCATAGGCCTCTATATATTTGATAAAGTTACATTTATTAATATCATAACACCTGTTCACCTATTTGAAAATAATAAAGGCAAGGAATTTTCGCTTTTTCAAATACTGAAATTTTAAATTAATTGGTCCAATCAACATCATTAGCGTAAAAAGCAAAGAAAAGAAGATGAAAAACAAATTAAATGCTATGAAAGGCCTATACTGAATAGGCATTTTCAGTACACTTATAATAACTAACAATACATGGCTGGAAATATGATTTATGTGTACATTTACCTCCTCATCGGGAACCGGCATACAAAAACACACTTAAAAAAGTGCATCCCCTGTGTGCTCTCCCTAATAGCCGTCTGTATACCCTTTTTTTGTTTAACAAATTACCTATACCAACAATACTCGTTCAACGCTAATCCCCACGATCGATTTGTCCATCGATCCGTGACGTCACAACGCCAGAGACACACCCCGTTTATGATCCTCGTCGGGGTCACCGATATGATCCTCGATGAGGATCATGATCCTCCACCACAAAACGTGGTCAAATACGCACTTCACACTACTGTCGACTGTTGATTGAGCCTGTTAAAAAAATGTGTTTCCTTTAATCATAGTTATCAAGAATCCTTGAATGTGTAATTAATAATGTGGTGCTTTGCAGTTGGCACTGGTAAAGTCATTTTCCTAGTTCCGGATTTTTCCTAGTTCCGGATCGCTTCAAATAAAACCCTACCTATTTTGAATTGGTCTCCAATACTATTTTTTTTTAGGACGAAGTGCATTTTGAAAAGGAAAATGTAAGCTTCTTGATACACAAGGATCTTTTTGTTACTATCTTTAGAAAAGGAATTTTGGCTAGATTTGCGACTCGCACTTTGACATGTTTGGACGGTTTGTAGAAAATCACGTAAGCCGCGAATCGACGATAAATTTGTCTCCTTGGTGCATCACTCGGACCGTGTGATTTCGAATATTTTGTTCGTACTCTACCGTCGTATAAACTGTTGCATCGAATGATCGTTGAATCAGAATGAGTCGTGGAGTCTCTAATATTTGAAAAGTCGCCAAAGAATGGCCGTATGTTTTTGCCTAGTTCCGGATCGCGCTTGCTGTAGCTGACCCAACTACATGAACGTTAATCGATTGTATGTGCCGTGTTCTGTGATGGGTCAAATGGTTTGGTGTTCGTGCTGCGACGTCGCGCTGCTGACAAAAGTTTCAAAATCATTTGCGTTAATTCTCCGTTTTAGTTTGCTGGAAAGTCCAGCAAGTTACAAATAGGCCTACAGTGGAAATAGATTTGGATGGAACACACCGTTCATGGGCAGAAATCAGGCGACACATCAGAAAAATCCAAAAGCCTGTACATGCGATGTGCATTGTAAGAGCTAGAATTAAAGGAAGTTAATTTTTTTCTTGCGGGGCGGGGCTTTGGCAGACTCGCACTACAGTGCCGAGTTTAAAGGCAATCGGATTGATTTTATTGCCCAAAGTGCCGGGGACAAAAAACGTGTACAAATGCAATGGGCAAATGACTGAAAAAGAAATATAAAAAAAATAAATAAAAAAATAAAACAAATCTTAAGGAAAACAAAGGCTGTTTCGGCATTGTTGCCGAAATAGCCAATAAATGAAATCATATTGTTCATATTTTACATCAGAATATTATGATCATGTACAACGTCCTTTCAACTTTTGACAAGGCTACACCCCCCCCCCTCCTAGGATCGACGTCACGAGACCCTCAATGACCCTCATATATTGAGGGTCATGATCCTCCTGCGAAATACGAGGTCAAATGCTCCTGCTATACTACTTCCCTCTGGCAGTTAAATTTGTGCCCCTCGAGATGAAACTGCAAAACTTTCCCTCAAACGCTCACGTATATTAAAGCATATGATCGCGCTACAAATAAAATCGTCTCCTCACTTGTAATGCAAAACTACCCCTCTCGCATTAACAAAATTGTGCACCTTCTCGAGATGGAAAAGTACCCCTCGAAAGCACAAAATTCTTCTCGCAAGAATGTAATTGTACCCCTCTCGAGATGGAAAATTGGCCATCAAAAACAATAGCGCTCCTCTCGCGCCAACTTCTCGAGATGGAAAACTGTCCCTCGAAAACACAATTAGTGCCCCACTCACAGCTTAAAAATTGTGCTCCATTTCAAGATGGAAAATGGTCCCTAAAAAATAATAGTGCTCTTCACGTGAATATAATGGTTATTATAACACCTCACCCACAGATTCTGTGAAGGTAATTGATTTTCAGCCAAGAATACTAATTTGTACCGAAAAGTAGCCACATTGTGTTCTTATATCTTTAACAAAGGCAAATGTCAAAAGCGTAGTTAAATGTCAACCTGTTTCATGAGATTTTCCCCTCTTTTTTAAAATGTGCAATAAAAATCAACCGTTACTTGCCTATCAGACAAAACATAAACTTTTAATTTTACCAACATCAAAATGAAATAACAGAAAATCATTTTGTAAATGAGCAACGAATGAAAACGGGCACTCGAAATATTGCGTTGCTTTAATAATAATAATAGCTTTATTTAAAGAGGGTAGCCATGTCACCTGACAGATGATTTTCAATGGGCCATCAATTAATACTGCTAACCTCAATAGGAACATTACCTTTGAAATGAATGGATGACTACAAAAACAAGTCTCTGGCCATCTGTTGTGAGTACTGAACAAACTTATACTTAAATAACTTTTAGGTAATAAACAATTTAAATACAATGAAAACTTACTCGTTAGCTAATAAATAATCTGATGAAATGGCAGTTCCATATCCATATCATCCATTAATCAAGATGTCAAGAATATCATTGCTCATGAAAAAAATACATTTGGTTGTCACCATCCGAATATTTATGTGAACGTAGCCTATGCAACTACCAGCAGGTGAGTATTGCTTCCCATAAATTTATGAACCAGAATAAGTAATCCAATATATCTTCCTCATATGCATGAACGCAAACAGATGGCTATTCAATCTTCAATTTCTGAGGAGCAACAAAAAGACGATAACGAAATACTAAGCGAAACTTGTTAAAGTTTAGCTATGGTCCACGCACGAGGCCCAGTTATGCATGCGTGGCCAGCTATCTCCTCACTGTACGCACAGTCGAATCCCGGGACATACCGTTATTTCGTTTCACCGTTTTGGATTTCCTCAAAAACAAAAACAGTAAACGAACGATTGATCGTTACGTCGTTTTACAGTTTTGTAAAACGGTCAAACGGTTTTAAGATAATTACGGGTATTTCGTTTTATCAGTTTAGTAAAATTCATTACAGCATAACGATCAATGATTTTTGTTTTTCAGTTTTACACAAATAACTTTGAAAAACAGCAAAACGGTCAGTATTGAATACAGACTGTTTTTATTTTTTATTTCAGTGTCATAGTTAACAGTCCGTGGTGCATTTTGTGGCGGTGGGCAAGGGGGGGGGTGGAGGGGGACCATGCCGTGCACGACGAAGTGTTCGGCATAATTATATTAATGCGTGGTGTGATTCCTGGCGTAACCCTGACCCCCATCTACTGAGATTAATTGGTTGGGCTTAAAAGAGTTGCAAGCAAAAATGGCGCTGGAAAATTTCAAGGAGGAAATTTCAGAATGGATACAGGGTGGTAAGACGTATGAAGAAGTTGCAGATATTTTGAAGGAAATTGGAGTTTGGCGCGGCTCTTCAATAGCCAATATTCGCAAATTCTGTCGTGAGAACGACATAATTGTACGAAGGAAAACTTCCCAGGCAGTGAAACGATCCCAAGGACACATTAACATTCCAAGGTGCATTGCTTAATTGCCAAACCTGAATCCAAAAATGGTCGACAAGACTATTGACCGTTTTGTCATTGTCATGTTTTTGTAAAATAACACTCTAAAAATAAAGCAACTAACCGTTTATCGCTTTTTACAATTCAAAAAAATAACAAAAAGGTCATTGTTTTTGTGACTTTATACCGTTTGACCGTTTTACAAAACTGTACAACGACAAAACAGTCGATGGTTCGTTTACTGTTTTTGTTTTTGAGGAAATCAAAAACGGTCAAACGAAATAACGGTATGTACCGGGATTCAGTCGGCAGTGCAATCTTCTTTCTGACGAAGACGTACGCTTTTGTCGAGCAGTGAAAACTTCTTCATCTGTTCACTATGATTGTGGTTCGTTGAGCAAGGCGCAGTTTTCCCAGCTCCAGCAAAGTGACTTCCAATTGCAGAATAGGAAACTGTGTTTCCATCTGGTCGACCATCTCTTGGAGTAACAAGTTGCTCCTCTTACAGGCCTTTTACCACCTCTCTGACGGATAAGATCTTTTTCGACATGATCGTCGATTTTCCTGCCGGAGTTGTCTGTTTTCCTGTTCAAGCTTTGGATTATATAGCCTTCCTGCTACTTCCGAGGGTAGATCCATTTCTGGTGGTAGACTGTATATGCATGCTCTATCGCTGATGTTGTTTTGCCGGTACAGCCACTGAAGCAATATCTTCGACGGGGGCTTGGGTCGGTTCTTTCCTTGCCGTTGGCAGCTTTTCTCTCTCGTGCTTAAGTCCATACACAAGACTGTAGTCTTTCTACGAAATAAAACAAATAAAGCACATGATAGGCCTTTAAATACATGACAGTAATTATCGATAGCCTATCCTGGCCCCAAGGCTCATTGTAATACTTACAGGCTTCAAATGAGTCGGGTAGTCTTCAAAGATTGACGGTACGACATCGACACGCAGACGTGTTTTCTCCCCATTCCACCTTGAAGCACTCTGCAGGGAAATGGTCGCTGCAAAGACGATCGTGCTTTGTTGGATTCTATTTGCTGCCATTTGGAATATTTCTCATTGATGTGTTCAAACTAGGAGAATGGTGCATTTTCTTTAATCACCCACATCCCACAACAAAAAAGTGACTCCCAATCGTCGTTCCCCCGTGGAGTCGGACTATTATTGAAAAGCAGGAGAGGGGAGGGTGATGTTAGGCCAGAAATAATAGTTATTCGATGTTCAGGATCAGGAGTACCATCTTAACTTTTAAAACAATATACTGTCAAAATTTTAAGTAGGCCCTACGCGGTTATTACAAAATTCGGAGGATCCTTTGGATCACACATGGGGGATTGTTCTCCACACTCATTCCTGTGATTTAATGCCCATTGGCATTGCGTAACGTAGCCTATATTGAGTTATTTTTTTTTATAAAAGCTGTCTTGTTCGAAATGTACTCTCAAGAGATAAATTCTGTGTATTAAGTTACTCACACGTGATGTTAACTTCTTGAGAGACTGTCTTCTGGGTCCCTTTCTCCGTCTTAGTTGAACTTTGCTGCCGCAAAGATTGCCATCATTTTCAAGCAGTGATGGCGTACAAGTGATCGTCATGCCGAAGAAATGCGCGTTTAAATTTTTGACCCTATTCACGTGACCAATGGCAGCGTCCTGTCAAAACGCGCGTATCATACGCGCGTCCGATCTAGTTTTTTAAGTTCTATATCTATGGCAAATGCATGCTGGTGTGCGCGTTGCGAGTTGCGCGTAGCACGTATTGTTCAAAGAGAGCGCGCCGCAGACTTGGGTTCAAACATTTCGTTAAGGGGTAGTTTGGAAGAGAGAAATACATTTTTCACAAATTTTGTATTGAAATTGAAGTTAATTTTAACTGTGTTCAGATTTAAATAATTTAAAATATTAATATCAAGCAGAATCTGTGGGTGAAGTGTTATGAAACAAATATTGAATGCTGTATCTCGTGGTGAAGTAAAACTAGCCTCCCTCGGTGATCCATGGACTATGAATGCCCATGGATCACCTCGGGAGGCTAGTTTTACTTCACCACTCAAAGCATTCAATATTTGTATACTGCAGAACTGGCTCTCGCGTTAAACAAAAATTGTCTCTCTTTATAACGAGGTTAAAGAAACACAAAGAGCAAGATGGACAAAGTTTTCTTTTGTTCTTCGTCATATGGGTTTATAGCGTAATGAACGGGACCATATTCTTTTCCTCCACTTTCACACCGACGTAAGGTGCCATTTTCTGAGAAAGTGCCCCCTTTTTGGTGTTGCCCCCAGTTTGAAAAGCTTTCCACCGCCCCTGTCTCCTCGCCTCCCATTAGCCTAGTGGAATTGCAATACTTGAACAACCAAAGATTATTTCATGTACTCAGCATGCACTTAACAACGCATTCAAGTGGCTGTACCTGTAGCTTACAGGTGAAAGGGCCCATACAGCATTTCTTTATCGGTTAGTTTCTATTTTCGGGCTCTCGTTTCACCCTCAGTCAGTGAAATTTTGAAATCTTCAACTTTGCAGGAAGGGCGCCCTCCTCCTCAACAATATCTTCTCCATTGCAGCTGCGCTGATGTTCGGGTTCTGCGGCGCCGAATTCGCCAACAGTTTCGAGTTGGTTATGCTGGCACGAATCGTTATCGGATTCATGGTCGGTAGGTATACATGTGCCAGGTATTGATTCATAAATTGATCCGAATAGATTTTTTTTTTTAACCTCCTGACCGATTTATCGATTTTATATTTGAAACCAGTTGACCTTTGTATGGGAATCAATTGCCCTATTTATAGCTTCAATGACTGGCGATTGAAGACTCAAATAATCAATGTATCGATTAATTTAACCAAAAACCAAGCGACCGCCCGATCGATACACTGACCGTGGCCCGGTTTATGAATCGATATAATATGTGATTGATTTATTGAAATGATTGATTTAATTAATTGACTGACTGACTGACCAAAAGATTGACCAGTGGATGTCATGTTGAGGTTTGATTCTGTATTGTGTAATTGACTTGACTGGCTAAATATAGAAAACGGTGGTCTATGCACCTCACATATCATACGAACACGTGGGCGAATTACGTTTATCGATTGCAACTTTATCGATATTACCAAAAAAATTATATCAATTAACAATTAGACTCAAAAACGTGTTTGACAACACAGATGTTCAAAGTGTTTTAGTTATCTCCGTATCGTAATAGACAATTTTCAAATCACTCAACCAAAACCTTCAAGAGTTCTGTGATAACTGATGCCTAACTTGATGACTGCATTACCAGGTTGTTCCATCACCATCGTGCCCCTGTATTTGGCCGAGATCGCCCCTGTCAATCTACGGGGAGCCATCGGCACCTGCCACCAGCTTGCAATCACCATCGGCATTCTCCTCTCGCAGGTAAACCTCGACTTGTATCCAACTTCTTGTAACTAGAGGTGTAAGAAACCTCGGGGTCCATCTCTGATTTTGGATTGGCCCACTCTGTCTGGTACATGGTGCCGTACGCAGTGGCTGCCTTTTTTGCGACGTCACTTAGAAAACGAAAAATTGGGTTGTGAGACCAAACTTTAGAAGAGTTGTTTTTGGCGAAGACAATGAAGATTTTAAAACTCTTCATACTGCAGGTATGAACCGGTTCACAGAGATGAAATGGACGCTCAGCAGCAAGTGACTGTTGAGGTTATTTCGCCTGCATGCCAAATTGCCAAATATGATCATCCCTTCGTATTTGATGTAATACATAATTGTAATTAAAACAACAAACAAAAACACTGTCGTTATGTGATTACCTTTTCGTCCTAGGCGTTCGGTTTGTTTGTGTTGAACAAACCAGACCAGTGGCCCATCCTGTTAGCCCTGACCGGTGTGTTCTCAGCCATTGAGATCCTGACGCTGCCCTTCTGCCCTGAGAGTCCCCGCTGGCTGCTCATCAACAAGAACAAACCGGAGAAATGCAGAGCAGGTATGGGTTCCCACGTGGTGCACACACACATGCATATGACGTCACTGGACCACGTGAACAACAACAACTGGCATGCGCAATGTGTGCAGTAGGGTTGTAGTGGTGTTGTGGTAGACTCGAAAGTATTCGCGTGCTTCCCGTTCAAAAATCAACCAACATTCAGACAACCGGCCTATATGTACTCGACCAGCATTGACATTGCGAAACCTTGTTGTCAATGTAAATGTTGCGTTGGGCTATTAATTGGTATACTGTGAGGCCTATGCATTGATTCTTGACCCGGAATTAACGAGATACCCACGAGATAATTCGCTGAGTGTGCTGACATTTCTAGACAGCAGTGGTTCCCACCCTTTCATTCGGAGTAAAAAGCAGAGGCAAACAGCGAGGGAAACATGTAGCAGACAGGGCAAGTTAGGGCGCGAACTGTATGGATAACCATAGTTCGACTAACTTCACTCTAATGAAAGATGGTTGGAGATCTATTATAGTAGTAGTCTACTATTTGGAACCAGACCACATGGCACGTTACCAATAACCGCGCGCAACAAAGTATACAACAGGGAGCCAGGACCCATAGTTTTGTGATGACATTTTGACCATCGTTTGACTAGAGGCTAGGCGATTGCACGAATTGCTATTATAGTGCGCAGGCGTAAGTTACTTCGCAATCAACCACTAGTCGACTTATGGTCCTCGCCCGAACTTGCTCATAATCATTCTTGGCTTATCCTTGTCGTTAGAGAGCTCAACCAATAACAGCAACAACCGAACCAATCTTTGGGTTACGACCGTAAAATGCGCCATTGCTCCAGCCTGCCGCATGGTGGGCATGATACCTGATTGTAAGCAGTTCCCGGATCACATTCATGGACAGTGAAATCTGAGTATTTCAAAATCTCGTGAAACCAACCCAATTCTTTTAAATCGGCCGAAGTAGAACAGGCCACGTTTGACTCTTGCAATTACGAACAGAACACCCGTCTTCATGTAGGCCTAGAGCTAGCCAACTTCGCCATTAACTTCATACCTAAACGGGGTAATAATGCAGTATTAAAACCTACTACTTTCGTACCGAACCAATGGAAAAAAACTCTAGTGGGATGCGAATCAACCGTTTTGCTAAAAAATCCAGATGTAGATGTAGATGAACTTAACACCAATCATTTTTAACATAGAAAACTAATGCGACTGATAAATGTACCTGTCAGAAAATGCTTGAAATATTAAATGAATTCGAAGTGGCGGCCGAATACTATTATTTGAATACCTCTGTGAATAAGAAAGGAATGCGTGCCCGTCCGGTAGCTACATGTATATAGGCTGTGCAATGCCTAAATGAAACGGCCAATTCCAGCGGTTACGAAATGAAGCGTATACATGTCCGTGGCACAGCCAATTAACCGTTTCTAATTAATGATTCTGAGAAAATGATCCAAAATGTGTAGTCTGCAATCTCCTTGACCTTACCCGGTTCATGCACTGAGCTCTTAAATGCTCTTTCACGAACTTAACATAACACTGAAGAAATAAAGTTCATACATGTTTTTAATGAAATGTGAACTCTTGTGTGAATACCAATATTTAATACAATTGCAAGATGAATCCCAGGGTTTGATCGCTCATACCGATCGACAGGACATTTTAATTGGATAGGGGAGTCAATGGACGGGAGAAGTTTAGTTCATCATGTGTATACTTTCTTACCATTTCTCCCTGTCGGTAGCCCTGATCAGGTTGAGAGGGGATGACGACGTGGACGATGAGATTACGGAGATGAAAGAAGAGGCTTACAAGGAATCATCAGTGCAAAAAGTAAGGGGGATTAGTGCACGATCCGATTTTGGAAAGGATGTGTCAATACTGTTACTGTGCTTGAATTGCAGTAGCTATAGGAACATGGTAGAACGGAAAAAAATACCTGAAATCATTATGTCTTTAACTGGTTCCACCAATTTAACAGGATCATCTGAAAAACTCTTGGAATCTTATCAGAATTAATGTAATCTGATCTGGTCCAGTGTATTCTGAACATGCGAGTTTTAATCAAATCTGGAGTTCGATGTAAATGATCCTTTGAAGAAAATCATTTGCATTTATCCCATGAGTAACCTATACCCAATTATTATCAAAAAGTTTACTTTGATTAAAGATTGTACTAAACACCCCGTGAAATTATTCCATGTGGATATCATTTAGAAGAAAAAAAAAAATAGGGAATTTCCATACCAACGATCAATTGACTGATTTTTTTGAAAATAAAAAGTGTTTTATGGACGAGACCGTGTTTCGTGATCAAAACGATTGTGCATGGTTTCCACTGTCTTCTTAAAAAGTGTAACATCCAATGAGCCGAAACTTCAACAGGTTAAGATTTGAACATTTTTCTGTGGAGTTTGAGTATTGTTGTTATTTGAAACGAACAAAATGCATGCAAAGTAAATGATCCTACATGCCTTTATAAATCATATATCGATGACTTAAGCAATCTTATCTGATCTCATTCCATCTGATTTTAGTCAAGACATAAGTAGCTTCACTGATATCACTGTAAAAAAAAGTTGGGCAAAATGGGTTGTTAATTCGACCAACGCTGGTTGAATTATCAACTGCCAACAGTCTTGGGCAAATTCTTCCCGATAGTTTGACAGTTTTTACCCAATTCAACCCAATATGAGATAATTTCATACCAATTCTCGGTAAATGACATTGCCCAACACTGTTTTATCCAACCCTTTTTTACAGTGATCATATCCAACTCAACCTGAACACTACATGAATGAAGATAATCCCAACTACCCAAAATTGCGTTTGATTGAATAAGCCCAATTAAAATGGAATCATACTAATGTTAAACGATCTTTAAAACAAAGTCTGTTCTTGTCCTAGGTGGGCATGTGGGCCGTCGTCACCGCTAGAGATCCTACATGGAAGATGCCATTGATTATAAGTGTGGTGCTGCATGCCGCTCAGCAGTTTTCTGGAATCAATGCTGTAAGTTAAACGCCTCCTATCTACTTTCAAGACAAATACTTCTCTTATCCTCTAATTCTCATATCACAAGGGGAAAAAAACACCAATAATCAGGAAACAAAATTTGTTTGTGCGGCTTTTTATAAGAAGGAATTTTGGCGTCGGGATGGTGTGTAAACTCAAATTGGGTTCAGTTTTCCCTGTACACCGACGTAGTTATAAAAACTGTATTCTCGGTATGTGGCTTTTAATGAGTTAAATTACTCAAGCGACTACTCAAAAGAAAGTGCAGGAGAAAAACCAATAGAAGAACATGATACAACCTGAATTAAACTGAGTTATACAGTGGGCTCTACAAAGACGATGCGGCACAAATAAAAGCCACATTCATATATACATGTAGCCCTATCAGTCTAAATAGTCCTGGGTCCGACATGACCCAGATTCCAGTCGGGTTTAATTGACCCAGTTTCCAGTCAGATTTGGCCCTGATTCCAGTCTGATTTGCCCCAGTTTTCCAGTCAGGTTTGACCCGGATTCCAGTCAGATTTGACCTGGATTCCAGTCAGATTTGACCCGGATTCCAGTCAGATTTGACCAGAAATCTGGTCAAAAATTTGACCTGATACTTTACAACGTCAAAATGACATATTTCTTGGCCAAAAAACACACTTCTGCCAACTGAAGGTTTCCAGGTAAAAAATGACCCCAGGAAATGCCATTTAGCCTGGAAAAGGGTCGTTTTGACCCTCATTATCTCGTCATCTAACCCAGATTCAGGGTCAAATCTGACCCGAGACTTTTTAGAGTGTACACACCTCGGGTGGGAAGCGATTTGAAACGAATGCAGAGTCTCCAGCTCAAAATCCGTCACTTAGTCGTGTCATTTTTCCAAATACATGTACTTTCAAACCTTTTTTTTTTACACGATCCTTCAGGTGATGTTCTATGCAACCTACATCTTCAAACAAACAGGCATGTCAGATGAAGAGGTTTCTTATGCAACTGTTGGATTGGGCGGTGTCAATGTTTTCATGACTATTGTCGCGGTGAGTGACACTGGTTCTTTGGGGGACACCTTAGGGTGTGGAAAGGCGTGACATTTGTCCCATTCTGGAACACAAATAAACCCTGGGTCCAGTTTTGGGTTCAGATTTCTGCTTGGCATTCATGTTGCTTATAGTTCTATTATGCATCCAATGGTTCTGGCATGGTTCCAATTACTTCGGTTGTGGGTCCAGGTTCTCTGTTTGTCCCAAGTTTCAAGTCAATACTCTTTATGAAGTAATACATGTTAAAGTTCTTGTTATTTTCATAGTTCTGATGGACCCTAGATCCGACCACTGTTCCTATTCTTGATTAAATCACAGTTATAACGGTCCGTATTAGTTGAATATGAGAAAATATATGACTGCTTTGCTGAAAAAAACTCAGTTAAACTGGTTCTTTGGGAAAGAGCCTAGTGGGATGCAAATTATGTATATATATATGGAGCATTTTCTTTCCAGGTAAGGAAAAAACCTCCAACATTGGGTACGGTTAGGTTTGGTTTCTGCTTGTCATATGAGATCTTGGCTCATAATCCAATTTTAGATTGCCATAGTTGGTTCTGACAAACTTCCTATCCCGGGTTCAGATACTCACTTTAACTTCAGTTTTAAGTTTGTTTCCTTAACAAAGAAATAAATGCTTAAGTTGTAATTGTTTGGTTCCATTTGGTTCTTAATTCCAGCTACAGTTCTTATTCTTGTTTAAGTCACAGAAAGTAATTATGGTTTAAGGATGCATGAAAGTATTCAACAAGTTATAATGACAGATTAAACATTCCCGTTGACTTTTTCAGTTTCATTTATCCATGTCATTGTAGGTCTTTGTCGTTGAGCGTATAGGACGCCGTAAGCTCCTGCTATTCCCCTTCGGCATAATGGCCATTGCCACAGCATTGCTAACTGTGTCCCTCAACCTGCAGGTAAGTAGGTTGTGCATCTGCAACCACTGCAATCCATGAGCTCTTCTTTATGGGAGCTAGGTTCGGAAGAGAGCCACAAAGAAGCTCACAGTGCACATGTAAACAAAGCATGATATCAATGTCTCAAGTCTTTTTGTCTTAAAAAAAGTTGTGTCCTTCTGCAAAATGCTTCTAAGAGAAAGAAAAACATCCCAAAGCCTACTTGTCTGAGTCTCAAACCAGTGGCATTTGCACGATAATGTTATGCTTGCCAAGATCAGTTGGGCTATGCGAATCTAAAAAGGTAGTGGCTTACCATAAATTTTGCTAATGGACTAAAACATGCAATGAAACGCACAGCAGTGCTCAAGTCAATGCGTTTTTGGAAGTTTGCACAATGGAACGCTTAATAATACATCCCCTCGGAAAGACAGTTCTACTGTACTACTTGAAGCATTCAATATAACTGTGCACTCGCCAAGATTTTACGCCTTACGGCTGACGAGTGACCAACGTTGGGTGCTTTATTAGTAAAATGGACGTTTCCTGTTCATTACATGTGTGATCTATAACATCTGACAAAGCTAGAGAAATAATTACATGTATTACAAAATATAGCTCTTTGCTGTTCAAAACTTTGGTGGAAATGTACTTTTACAAAATATGATTGTCTTACTTGTTAAAACAACTTTGCCAATTGTTTGCATCTCCAGACTTTTAAATTCAATTATGTCATTTCACATGTAAAAGCAATCTTTTTTCCCCAAAATATTACTAAATTACATTAGTACAAGGTGGAATACATGTACATCAATACCGAGTTTGTAGAATTATCATAATTCCCTACCTCCTTTGAAAACATACAGCTAACGTAGTGCTTAGAGGAGGTCTAGGGCCAACTGGAATAATTGTTTCATTGAACACTTCTGCTACCTTAGTGCTTTTTCACACTAGACAAATCTCGGGGTTGACGCAGGGTTGAAACATGCAGTGTTTCACACAACTGTGCACCAACCCTGCATCAACCCTGAGATTGATTTCACCCTGGGTTGAACTCAACCCTGCTCCAGACCAGGGTTGAGATTTCTCAACCCGGGTTGAAACTCCGCCAGGGTTCAAAACAGTAGCAATAAGCTTGATTTGCATGAAGCAAAAATACACAAAATTCAACCCGGGGCGGCACTGGGTTCGTTCACCCGGGGTTGAGTTCAACCTGGGTTGAGAGGCTGTAGAGTGATAAGGCCTTTATACTTTCAAACTGCAAAACTACAAAACATTGGAAACAGAATTGAGGATTGAATACCATCACACAGAATGCTACCTAAAGCTGAGAATGCTACAGTATTGTCCACTATCTCCTACAGTCTAAACACCAAAAGCTTTGCAAAAAGGCAGTGTACAGATTTGCATGGGAAACAAGCCTTGTGTGAAACCTTTCATCTGACATTAGTGAGAAAGCAGAGATTACTATCTCAACACTCAAGTATTTTGTTGACAGTTGGTCAAACGATATCAGCAATGTTGTTCAAACTGCAACTAGCCCTCCTTCACTTAAAATACTTAAGCATTGTAATTAACAATTTTAAGTGAACAATTAAGTTACAGTAAATGCCATACATGTTGATGGAGTTTTTCAATGTTCATTATTTGTGGGTTTTTCCTTTTTGAAAAATTGCATCATTAAAACCCCATATATACATGAAGTCTGCATGTAATACTACAAACAGGTATGCAACTTGAAAGGAAGAAAAAAACGAGGAAACTCCAATCTTTACAAGACTTTGTATGGTGATTTTCAATTTTGAATGGTTAAGTTTTCAATTTTTAAGTGTTAAGTGAAAAACGAGGAAATCAGCTGATCTGAGGAAAAGTTGCATGCCTGTACAAAAATATTTCAGAAAATGTACTTTCAGGTTGCTATACTCATAAAGCATGTGTATACAAAGTATAGACATCTTTTTTTTTAAGTCCAAATGTAAAAAAGTAGAGTCTTTTTATAATCATTAAACCTGTTTTATTTAATACATAAAACTCATTTACCCATGAAAAACAAAATATGTAATACATAATCTTACAAATGAACACAACAAGCAGTGGTTTTTTGCACTGTCGTACGGAAGTTTTGAATGAGCTGTTCACCTGGTGTTTTAATTACTCCTGTTTATGATTGATAAGCACGTACAGGGTACCAGACTATGGACTCTATGCATAAGTGACCTCTCAATGGTTACAAAGGGAACGTTGGGAGGGACCTCTTGGTGGGATTCTTGACCGCACTGCTGACAGCCCCTGACGCTTAGGCAGTTGCGCACACACAATTCGAACAAAAGACACAACTCCCGAGGACTGAAAAGATCTGCTGTTCTCCCTTTGTCTGTCGGTCCTCTGGGTGTATGTACCGTAGCGTACGCCCACTCTTGTAATACATGCATCTCGAGGACAGACACACAAAGAGGGACCAACAGATTTGTTGTTGTCCTCGGGAGTTCATCTTTCCTTGAAAACCGTCCTCGAAATGAAAGTGTGTGTGCTTAGTCTATGGGAAAGGGAAAGACAATGCTGAATTGTCCTCGGACTTGATGGCAACATTTGACTGTGCTCGCAAGCATGCATCCCTCCCACTTGAGTTCTTGTGAATAGCGAGTGTTTATGCATGGAGGCCAAAGGAGGGAAAAAGGCTTGGTTGAATCGGTTTTGTGGCTATATTTGCAGTCCTTACATGAATTGACACACTGCAGTGAATATCTGTAGCTGTAGGTAATAATAATAATAACCTGATTTACAGAGTGTTAAATTGCCTAGGGATACAATAGGCGCTAAACAAAGAATGAAAACAGGGAAAGAAGACAAGAAAAGAGGACAACCAGCTATTCACTGCACATACATGTACAAAAACCAGTTCTGAACACAGGAAACACAGAGTGACTAAAATATATGTACATGTGTACTTAATTGTAGCAATACTTCTGGTAGCAGCAAAACCAATTTACTGATCACAGGTCAAAGGTCATCTGATTTGAGTGCGCTGTACTTGATGCCATCAGAGCCGTTTACATTTCCGTCAGGACTGCCATCCAAGTTCTAAAAACATGATCAAGAACAAAACAATGGCATGAGCATGTAGGTTGTGATTTTTATCTTTTTAAACTCAGATCCAATTGCATTTTTTTTTTCTTGAATAGAGTTCCTTTGACTGGATGCGCTGGCTTAGTCTGGTGTTCATCTTCATGTACATCATTAACTTTGCCATCGGACCTGGTAAGTTACAACTTGCTAACACATGGGTAATACATGTATATCGGAAGTTTCCTGTAGACCATTCTTTCGTGTTTTTTTGTAAACATTGAGCACCATTTTGTATGGGCTGTCACAAGGGTACAAATTTAAAACCGGTTGGCAATAAGATTTTGCCAAAAATTGCATATAAACAGCCTCGTTATGTAAGAAACGGATATTTTTTTTACGGAGACTGCTCTATGTTCCGACACCCCAATGTTTCGACACCACTATGTTCCGACAACCCGCACATAAGATGTGTTACTCTCGGTTAGGGTTAGGGTTAGGAATAGGACTATGTGCAGTCGAAACATAGGGGTGTCGAAACATAGGGGTGTTGGAACATAGAGGTGTAACCTTTTTTATTAGGTCTTTGGTAACTTTAGTTTAATTTGTATTTTCAATAATCCAATGATATGTTAAGAAACATAAATATCTGTTAGCAATTTTTGTGATGTTGAACTTTATAGCTTGCCAAGCCCTGGTTGGCATAAAGTACCAATAACGGATTGAGCAATGTAAGGTCTATTGGCCTGACTGCGTATTCCTGAATACAATGTATGTACGAGTTGAGGTTCGGACATGGAATGTGTAACCTCACGCTTGGCTACAACCCTCCAAGTCTAAAAACAAATTGGATGTGTTATTTGTAAAGACAAGCCTGATCAAGCGTATGTGAGGTTCATATGTAATGTTATAATTTGTAACCTCCAACATTGTGTTTTTGTAAGGCTCTAATGTGATGTTCTGTTAGTAGCCACTAGCATGTACCAGTACAGGTTTTAATAAGAGATGTTGGGACTGTGTTTCTTTATGTGTTTGGCTGAATGTCGTTGTTCGTGACATCAATGACAAGCGGCACGTGGGAAAAAAATTAAATGCCATGCTGTGTGACCACCTGTATGTATGAGGGTTCACATGTTTCTTCTCAATGAGGTGCACCTAATGAGGTGCACCTCATACAAATGAGGATCACATGTGAGGTGCTGCTGTGATTTTCTGTTTCTACCCTCAAGCCTGTCAGTAAATTAATTTGCGGCGAGGTTCAAATGTCCTTTTTGTTGATGACCTCAATCTTGCTCCCCCCCCCCACAGGACCTATCCCTTTTGTGATTGTTCCCGAGCTGTGGGCCCAGGGGCCTCGCCCTGCTGCCATGTCCCTCTCTGTCCAAGTCAACTGGTGGTGCAACTTCATCGTTGGTCTCTCCTTCCCGTTTATTCAGGTAAAATACTTGTGCATGGAAGTCCATAGACACAGAGTCTTTCTACTGTTAGTTCAAATCCAGGAAAAAAGGGTTGTAGTATTTGTGTCCATGAGCAACACACTTTGTTAGAGCAGAATTTTAATGGACTTAATTTTTGACAGCACCATGCTTCCAGGCAACAAAATATTCTGGAATTTGAGGAATATGGCATTTCTGTCCTTGAGCATATTTTCTACAATTCTCTCTCCTTCAGCCTGAAACTGTACATTCCGAGCAAAGTGTTTCAAAATAAAATAACTAAGGATTCTAAGGATGTTCAAACTTGTAAGTTGACAGGTTTTCTCTCCAGAAGTAGAGTGAACATACTGGATTATCACTATGTATCTGTCATGCTTCTCTGCCACTGCAGGAGGGTATCGGGGCCTACACCTTCTTGGTCTTCATGGGATTCCTCATTGTCAGCACCATCTTCATCTTCTTCTTCATCCCTGAGACCAGGAACAGGACCTTCGAGGACATCTCCTCCAGTTTTGGAAAGAAGAAGGAGGTGAACCAGAATGAGTACGAGCTTCAAGACCAGCGTTAGACAGCGAAGGGCATCTCAAAAGCACAGAGTATTTTTATCATTGTTGTCTGGGTCCCATTTCATAGCGTCTTAAACAATTTGCATCAGTTTGCACAAGTTTCAACCGAGAACCAGTCAAAAGATATGTCCATCACATGACTTTTTGGCTGGTTACCTGTTTGCTTGGTAAATATTTCCCATCATTAAATTGGCAAGCTCAGCAAATTGGATTGCCAAACAGCTTTGTGTACAGAAATGTATTAAAGTGTCTCATGATTGTGAAATAAATTGGCATGTGCAGTTAAACCTATGACAGCGCAGGGTGGGCTGCAAAGTGTTTGGGAGATCACCAACTGTTGAAATAATCAAAGAAATTTGTCAAGCAATTGTGCAGCTAAAGTGTTGCACTCAGCGCCTTCTCATCATGGAACCCAATGCCAATGACACAGTGGGTTCCAAAACAGAGATCATTAACCCTTTTGGTGTGAACATGAAGAGCAACTCCTTGTGATCGGACATACGACTCAAGTCAGGAATTCTAATTTAATCACAAGTAACAGAATGAATACAGAGATTATGATAATCCAATTTAATGTTTTTACAAGACGCACATGTGCCGCTCACGCGGTCGTCCTGAAGTCCGCTGTTCCAACCAACCTTTAGTCACTGTAGTGCCTGAAACCGCCCTGCCTATTACTCATTTGTAGCACCCCAAACTGCCTGAGCACACTCTTAAGTTTTAAAATTAAAATCTGTTGTTTTCTTGATAATACCATTACATTTTGTGTATTTTTACCACCTTAAAGGGAATATACATGATTGGCTTTTGCTGTAATTTTCATAAATGAACCCATTTGTTAGACTGACATGTTTGAAGGTTTGTGTTCGAAAATGCTGGGGAAAAAACAAGGAAAACAAAACTGTTCAAGTTGTCTGGTTCCCTGACTCCACTAAATATAAAATGGATCAATTTACAGATGCCGGAAACTTGTAAGGTAATGGAACCAGTCTAGCCGGCCTGCACCCGTTCATGAACATGTAACCAATAGCAAACAAAATTTGGACTGAAAGAAAAATGGTTAATTTGGAGCAGTAGTTGAAAAATAGTAAAGTTTTTCCAACGGTGGTTGGCCGACCTTTACAAAAATACCATTTTCTTGAAAATGACTTCAAACCAGGTGCCATAATTTTACAGGATGCATTAGACTGTCATTTACCAACATCCTAGTAAGGTATTTCGTAAAAACTAGGTAGTTTTATTTTTCGATGTTTGCAAATGTTGTATATTCCCTTTGAGGCGCAAGAGATTAATGCTGCCTCTATCAGAATGTTAACCCATGCTGAATGCTTTTAAAATGTATTTCCTTGGTGCTGATTTTTTATTAATCAAAGTGTGAAGGTGAATAGTTCTGCTGTGTGAAGTAAGGGTGCTTAATTGTTTCGAAGCGGAAACATTTTTCTAAAATAAATTTTAAAAGTAAAGTTTTATAAGCATCTGGTGTATTTTTAATGAAGCTCTTTTTCTTCCTCTATACCAAAGAAAACTTTTTAGCTCTTCTCAAGTAAAGTTTTATAAGCATCTGGTGTATTTTCAATGAAGCACTTTTTCTTCCTCTATACCGAAGAAAACTTTTTAGCTCTTCTCAAGATCCTCACAAGTATATCAAATGAACTGAGACAAATCACTGTTGATCTCCTATAGCTCGGACCTTGTATGTGATTTGACTTGTGATTTACTTGTGAGGACTTGGCTTCAGCTCTGGGCCTATTTTCATGGTTCCGATACACAGAATTCTGCGCTTACAATCACCCTTCTGGGTGACTGCTCTATGTTCCAACACCCCTATGTTCTGATAACCCGCACATAAGATTGAGTTACTCCCGGTTAGGGTAAGGGTCAGGGTCAGGTTTAGGGATAGGAATAGGAGCAGTCGGAACATAGGGGTGTCAGTGCTAACACGGCTAGTCAACAAAATGTGCTTACCCTGTAACCGCAGAATCTTAAGTTACAAAATCTAAGTACCGGTATGTGCGTAAGCCAAAATTTCTCGCTAAACCCGTGAAATAAACAGTAAGCACAGAATTTTTGGTAACAGAAAGCAGGGATTTTTCCCACTAACAGAACGCAGAGCCATGAAATTGGGCGCTGAACTTGGGATATTCAACATGTTAAATACAATAATGTACAAGTAGTGAATATGGTTTGAAAGATCAGGTATAAAAATATACTTTTTAAAATACTATACTATGGGTTGGTTTTTTTTATTTCATATTTTAGCCCTTACCCTACTAGACCCTCCAACGCATGCCAATATGTGCCTCAAGAAAATCTCCTATGTTTTTTGCATGGCCCTCCAATATCTGCCATGTCATTTCAAGGGTAACTGGACAGGCACTCCAATACATGCCACAGAGAACAATGAGAGTCCTCTGATAACAATCAAGTGCCCCCAGCTGGTCAGTATCAGGCACCCTCCAGGGCCTCCAACTCCTGCCAATTGGAGCCTTCACTGCTACATCATAGTATCCTCCAATAAACTGCAGCTGGAGGGCATTGGCATAACCAACTGACATGCAGTAAACTACCCTCAGAGAGTAAGGGTTAGACTGCACTTTAATGATATTCGATGAGATATTTTGAGTCATATTCCTGAAAATAGTTGTGAGTTGTTTATTGTACATTAATAGTTAAATTTCAACAAGAGTCTTAAAAAATATCTCAGAACTGCCTTTGTTTGTATGCTCTGAGATGACATTTGTTTCCATTAGTTATTCATTGTAAAAACAAAACCTAAAAATTTTGAATTTCCGATTTCCTTTTAACCATTTCATATCAAGATTATAACGATTAAGTCCAAGCATTTTATCTGAGAAATAAATAACTTTATAATTAATGTTATTATTGTCTGTAAAAATCCGATTTTAGAATCGCCCTTTTTGGAAATCAGTTTTGTTTCATTTTCTTTTGAAAATATGACGACAACAGCCAAAGTTATTTCATCTTTCCATTTAAAAATTGTATGTGAAAATTTATAGGTAAAGATAGATGGAGGTGTATTGTTCATGAACATGATTTTGTATATATTAGAAATAGCCCACTTTTCAATTAACAATTTTTAACACAAATGTAAATAACAAACTCAATAAGAAGAATTTAAAAGTGAAGCTCAAGTGAAGGAAACAATGCAAAAATATCTGAAAACTTACAATTGTTTGGACAGAAGTATCAGTATGTCTTGAATGTTTCAGGGCATTAGTTACAGTCAAAATGGACAATGGAACAAGAACCTACTTTTCGTCCACTGGTCAGTGCTTCTGTTTATATTCTAATGTAGATTAATTTAGTTTGCGGATGGCCTCAAGTTGGAACCACAAAAGCCTTTTAGAAGTGATGAATTGTTCACAACCGGTGTTGTAGCTCAGACCTTTCGAGAGCTCACTCATTTTTTATCATTTACATGTATTTCAATTTTCAGAGATGAAGTTAAGTAAGTCAAATGACTGTGCTGCAGTGCGTCATTATTTTATGAAAGAACGACAAGATATATTTTGTAAGATCAACATTCAAGTTCAGGTTAAATTTCCTTTTTTGAGAGTCAAAATCTGTTAGAGATTTCTTCAAGATCTTTACAAGATAAATGTTACCATAAAATGTTTATTTTAAACTCTATGATAAAATTAAAACAATCTAACAAAGCCTGAAAGAACACCATTTTGTCTTTGAGCTTCCGGCCCCCTCCGCGACCCTTCTACGGGCATGCATTTTACACGGGATTGCCCTAGCTTTCTCTTGCTATAAGTTGTTTTTTTTCAAAAAGCTTACTTGGATTACAGATTGTTCCATACAGTTATTCCATCTGGCAAACTGTCATTTAGAAGAAATCAAGAATTGAAGGTGCTTTCCAATGATCAGTCAATTGACTGATTAAGATTTTTGGAAACTGAATCGTGTTTCGTGATCAAAAGGTTGAGCAAAAGTTGTTTCACTGTTTTCTTGAAAAGGATGGAGCTGAGACTTCAACCGGTTAGGTTTTGAACAGTCGCCCTTTGATTTTGAGTGGTACTATTACTGGAATGAACAAAATGCATGATACGCAAGTGATCCTATGTATGCCCAAAATAAATAAGGAATTTTTTTAATTGCTGCTTGTGTTTAAATAAATATCAGGGACTTAATATTATGAGTCTGATGTCATGACAATCTGCTGCATTGTTGATGAAGCCTTTTTTTATTAATGTATTATTAACAATGACAAGTTTGTCTTTATAATAGTGTGCGATACCGATACCGAAAATGCTGAAAGATTACTCCCATGTACAAGGCAACCAATATTATAAATGGTAATTTTGTTAGATGTTGAATTGCAAGATCTTGTAATAAATTATGAGCAAGATTTGTTAAAACAAGAATGTATAATGATTCTGTTGTTCATCTATTGGACGGCATTGCTCCAGACCAAAAGATTCTGACTATTCCTGATGAATGATTCATCCGGAAAAGTCAGAATCTTTTGGTCTGGGAACCAGACTACTAACCAATGTGTATCATCACATGGTGGCGCTATTCAAAGAAAGCAGTTTTGGTATGTAGTAATCGAAGAGCAAGCTTAATCAATCGCTTAACCCAGTTTTTGATTTGTAGTGTAACTTGTAACCCATTAACCCTCCTGCTATTTAAGCAGTCACGGACAGTCAAAATTCACTTCCACTTCCCCTGCTTTACTTTTAACAAAGGCTAGTCACCAGCAGTCAGATCATATCTGACTCGGCCTGTAATTAGTGGATAATCACCGTTGGCCGAGGGAAATAAATTAAATTTAAAAAAAAAAAAATGTCTGGATCCATGGGTGATCAAGGTTTGGTTATAGGGGGGGGGGGGGGGGGGGGGGGGGGGGGAGTTAGCTGTCAAAAGTGGGTTTAAGCAGCCATATGCGGCCAAAGGGGGGGGGGGCCTGCGGGGCTTCTAAACCTCTCCCTTAGATCTGCCACTAACATTTACATAGACTTGATGACAAGTCGTTAGACTATAGTGGTTTATGTCCGTCATCAGCGCCAGAATCCGCATACCATGCCACCGCAGTTCATGCAACGTGAGCGCTACAACCATTCATGCAAAAGTCAAGTACATGTACAATGTACTACCGCGCGGCATGGTCAGTCCGTGTAATGCAGTACACACATGGGATCGCACACGCATGAGGTCGAAAATGTACGTAGCGTCCCCGCATCTAGGACAGCATGCGGTACGTTGTACCCCCAGCACAGAGCTTGGCAGTCGCGCGCGGCGGACATGATTAAAACCACTCATTACAGACTTGATTTCAAGTCCAACATATATATACATTGCAAAGTTGTCAGGTTGTGACCTGAAAATCAAATTTTCCTAATGATGCAGTTTGTCTAGCAAGCCCACTGAGAAATGGAGCATTGAAAAGCAAGGGGGGAAAGAGTGCATGCATGCAGGAGGATTTGCTTTGGTTGTACATGTAAAACACATTGCTTGCTACTTGTTACTCATGCACAGCATGGGCTCATAACCTTCAACCACTACCAAAGCAATTCTGAGATACGTTGCGGAAGAATTTTGCCTGCTAAGTGACTTTTAGTATCAGGATAACTTTAATAGCCATAAAAAAAAAAATTATGAGTACGACATTTGACCTTAATTGCAAGAAAATACATCTGGTACAATGACTTGTTCTATTGTTTGAGCAGATATTTTGGCACAAAATGGTAGCCACTTAGAGACTGCGGGCTGACACATCAGTTCAAAATCAAAACAGAATATTTGAAGTTTGTCAAATTAATGTTATAAGTTCTGGACTCAAAGATCTCAAAAGAGATTCCTGGATATCAAATTGCACTGGCAGTTAACTTTTTTCCGCAACGTATCTGGGGAAGAAACATTCCCCCACCCATTTCAGCAAAACAACACAAATAAACACAGCAAACAACAACAAAATAAAAGCAAGCACATGCAGAGAATACAAGCTGACAGGTATACAAATGAAAGATTTATTGTGAAATCAGAAATAAAAAGAACAATCGACAGAACAGACAATTAGGAACGGGGTGGAATAGGGAGAAGTTTACAATTTTGTGCGCTGTGCAACATAACCAAACAATTGTTGTCTGCTGTTCCATATTTGCATATAGCACCCTCGGCTTTGCCTCAGGTGCTACATGTATGCCTCCCTCAGGTATTAGAAATGGGGCATCCCACATCACAGCAGTCAACAATTGTTAAATATTCACTATTAAAATAAAATCAAGTGCAAATTTGTGTTAGAACATGCAGTCAACTAGAGTACAATATATGTGAGTGTAAACATCAAGATAAGGTGAAAAAAAAAACAGGGTTGTTATTGTTAAGCCTCTACTAACTCCGTGGGACCTGCAGCACATATACACTTTCTTTTTTTCTGTGTGGCCCAAATAACAACCCCTTGATTTTCCATTGAAAGAAACACGCTGAAGCATTCTTTTCACAAGAGAGCACGACAGAAAAGCAAAAATTCAGTTGGCCCCTTATTGCTAAACGAAACGGTGAGCACTGTATTTTGAAGCAAACGTAAGATAAAATATGTCTGGCCACAATTTGTTCTCCCTGGCTATGGACCGTTTCACAGATACCAGGGTAGTGCTATTTTTGTTTTCTCGTGGTAATCTTTGGGGGATTTCATTAAAAAAATACGTCCTATAAATAGTATCCTGAGCGTGATGGAACGTATTCTTAATGAAATGCCCCGTGTGATGACCACGTGGCCACACAGTTGATTGTGTACATGTAGGCCTAACGAGCACAGAGAGACGTGCAAGATACACTGTAGAGATACAAGAGTTGTACAAAATCAGTTACTGCTCTCTAGCAGTTCTCCCTGTATGCATTCTGTTACAAGTTACAAGTATATGATTTTAGGCTTTGCATGGTGGAGTATCGACCTTATCATTTCCGTTTGCGGTAACACCATGTGGTAATAACTACTGCTTAGAAGATATTTAGTTCTGATAAGAACAGTCCTGCTTCAAGCTTGTCAGGAGACTGTCTCCTGATGATGGCTAGAGCAGGCTAGTCGAAACGTTGAGACCAACGACAAGTTCTTTTAGAACTTAAAGCAGGACTGTTCTTATCAGAACGAAAATAGCAAAAGTTGATAATAAGCTGGACAAGTTCTTTTCCGAACTAAATATCTTCTAAGCAGTAGTTATAACCACACGGTGTTACCGCAAACCGAAACGATAAAGTTACAAGTAGAAACATTGTGTTTTTGGCCTGTGCAGCAGGTCCCATGGGTAGCATGGGTACAAAGCTTCAATATACACATGGGTTAATAGAAAATAAATGTTAATATAAAGCCTTTAAAAAAAAGTCTCCAAAAAAATAGATCCAAGAAGCTCATCAGGCATTGCTGAAGAACTGAAAAGTATAGTGGTGGGAGAAATCGGAGATTTCTAAATCAGGTTATCCTAATTTTTTTCCGAACTGAATAACGGTAATCTGATTTCACCGAAATTTCCCATCCAGCTCACAGTCATGCACAACAAAAAGTGGCGAGCGAGGTTCCACATGAAATGCCCTCCCAATGACTGGGTATAGTTTGCAGGATTCAATGACCACTTGGCCTTCATAAAAACACTCCAGAGCTGTAACGTTAAAACAATGGATGGGAACTCTCTGATACGTCGAGTGGGCAGGCTATTCATGTACCAAGAAGACCACTAGCAAGTGAATGCAGTAATTACAATCAGAGACCATAGAGAAAATTGGGGGATGGTCCAGTTGTGTTCTGTAGCTTGTGTCACAAAAACAGTGAGCTTAATTTCTGTTCAAGGTCGGTTTCGAATATCTGGTTTCTAAAATTGAAACTGAATACAAACCGAATATGAAAAATCCGGATTTAAATCCCACCACTATTAGTGTATGAAAAGATTTTTGAATATTAATCTGCAATTCCAATATAAAAAGACTGTATATAAATTGTGTCTGTACAATATATTATGTTAATACTTCAGGGTAGTTGGTTGTGGAAAGGAACGGACAATTTAAATAAGAAATGTTCTAAAGCTGTATTACGCTTTTGGGCCTTAATTCTTTTGTGCAACAAATGTGATGCGATCAAGCTAATAAATGAGTCGTTTGGCGACCTTGGTCATTTTTTTTTTTTTTTTACAGTTTTTAAAAGAGCACAATCTGAGCATTACTGATGTGAAAACCGCATGCTGAAACCATCTTATGGAAGTCGGAACACCAAGAGGTGTGATTAAGTGATGCACGTGGCCCTATTTTGGCCTGAATCTCCACATGAAAGTTCCTGACAAACAACTCATTTAGCTTGATCGCATCACAACTGTAAAAAAAAAAAAAAAAAAATACCAGCTGAGAATATCCAATAGGAAAAAAAGGAAAACTGTTTCATGACCGAAAGAGAAATTTACTAATTAATGAAACCTAATTAGAAATGTATGAGTCATAAGATTGTTTTAGCACACATTCTCAAAATATTTACAAATATGCAGCATGAGTTTGAATTGTAATTTCTAGTTCCTGAGAACCAATTTTGTTTTTATCATTGCTAATGATCAATACGTAATCTACAGTTTAGATGTTACATATCAGCAATCCAGACTAAAGAATTGTCAATTTCTTTTTCTACGACATAGTTAATATTTGATCTAGAGTGGTACTGGACAATGAACTATAAGTATATATTAAAATTACCCGCATATTTGTTGTATGTACAGATCAAAACTTGGATGGCATGATGTGCACAAATTGACTGTTCGAAAAATGCCTCGTAAAATAACAAATAACAAAGACAGATAAGCAACTTACAAGAGTTGCAGAAATCTTTGAATTTAAAGGCATAACAGATCATTTGCTTTTCATGCATC